ATATATATACATGTGAGTGAATATTATTGTGTACTTATAAACCGTAAGTGCGCATACACGTGTGCATAAGCGTATTGATGGCTATATATCCCAATGGTGCCGGGTATGACGTGTACGTACGTGCTATGCACACTGTGAGTACTTGTTTGACTGTTTTTACGCATAGATGGCAACACTTGTACTAACTCCCCAATGAGCCAGTTACGAGTACCGCCCGTTTACCCGTTTCTTTGATTTACGAAATATTTTACATTATCTTATTTTGCTGTTACTAATGTTAAAAAACATTATAAAATTTATAATGTTTATGATAAAAATAACACCATCGATTTTCATAGCACTAGTGAAAAATACGTTTTTCCCGCCATTTCAAATCAGGCGCTAGCAGAGCCATCTATCGGCAGACATTTCACGAAAAACATAGAAAGTGGGCACAGCAATTTCCCCATTTTTTGTTCATTTTCCCCGGCGGCATTGGGTTAAATATGTGTATGTATAGTTATAAGTATGTGTACAAGATATGTACGCATATGTGCGTTCGCATATAGGTTCGTATACACATATATATGCACATATGATATGCGCATATGTCTATATATGTGTAAGCATGTGTGTAGGAGCATATGTAAAGGTGTATGCTTGCATGTGCATGTGCACGAAAATGAACATATGCGTAGTACTTACGGCATTTGTGGGTGAACAACTATGTCTGCACTAGGTGTACATACGCATAAATGAAATCAGTGTATGAAATATGATCACTCATATATGCATTTCCGATACTCAAGCGGGAGTATACCCTGGTGCATTGAGCAGGCCCGTGCGATGCTGCTCATAAGTGCACACTAGATAAGGCCACCCCTGTTGGAGGGGCTTATCAGTGGCATCCCGGCTAACCCCCCCCCCCCCACACCAAGATACACCTAAGCCAGTAGGTGGGGGGTAACTCGACTGTCTACCTCTCAATCAAAACCCATAACTCCACAAACAGTGCAACAGCTCTCATTCCCCGGAGGGTAAAGAGCCCCTGGTTACGGCGGCGATCAGGATCTCCGGTTAAAAACAGGCCGCCCCACGTTGATGAACCTTTGCACCTATAAGATAAGGACAATGAGAACTGAATCCGACTTACTAGCATTGCTTGAGGAACTCTTTCATAAAATAGGATGTTGTAGGATTCTGTGAAGTTAGAAGACTAGAAGAAGAATAGAAAATACTAAATTATGAACACATGTTGTATTGCAGAGGTAAACCCCAGGGTAGCAAGCAAATAGGAGCGATATAGTAAAAAATGTGGAAGTAAATATTGGCACCGCCCATAGAATGGCCTGAGGTCAAATTATATTACACCTCAGAAAGGAAAGGAATAAACTCATACGAAAACCGCAGTCAAATTTAGCTAATTTGAAGACTAAAGCGAAAGAATTTAACCTTAACATCCAAAACAGATATTCACTTCTCAGCGATGAAGATCTCAACGTTAACTAAATCAACAAACAGATCAGTGACATAATAAAGGAAACTGCACTTAAAGTAATCTGTAATAAAAGTCAAGCAAAGCTCCAGCAAGCTCTCGGTAGAAACTAAACAGCTGCAACGTAGGGTCAGCAAAGTATCGTCAAACAGGGACAAAATAGAATTTTCTGAACTAACAAAGAAGAGAGAAGATGTATGGAGACACAGTGATCTCAGGTACCAGCAGGAAAACAGCTAAAACGAGACTCAGAATAGGGAGGAATCAAATGTATGCAATAAAATAACTAGACAGAGAGGTGACATCTAATAAGAATGAAATCACAAGAGTAGTGGAAGACTTTTACAGGGGTCTATACAACGCAAGTGAACAGCCACGGATAGAAGCGAGGACGTACCTAACATCACAACAGAAGAAATATAAAAGAGTGCTAAAAGGCATGAAGAGAAGGAAAACATCAGGTGAAGACAGAATTAGTATAGACTTTTTATACGAAAGCCTGGAAAATGCAACAATTATTTTGATACAAAAAAACACAAAACAGACAAAGATAGAAAAGACTGGGAGGCCTGCACCCTGCAGTGGATCGATTCAGGCTGATATTTATATGTATGTATATATATATATATGTGTGTGTGTGTGTGTGTATGTGTGTCTGTGTGTGTATAAATAAATCAATATATATATATATATATATATATATATATATATATATATATATATATATATATATATATATATGTATATATATATATATATATATATATATATATGTATATATATATTTATATATATAAATATATGTGTGTGTGTTTAAAATCAATATATATATATATATATATATATATATATATATATATATATATATATATA